TGTTACAAACACTGGCACCCCACAGGGATGTGTCCTCAGTCCCATCCTCTACACCCTGTTCACCCACGACTGTGTCGCCTCCCACAAAGACAACATCATCCTGAAGTTCGCAGACGACACCGCAGTGATAGGTCGCATCACTGGCGGGGACGAAGCAACCTACAGGAGGGAGGTGGCCGGTCTGGTGTCATGGTGCATGGACAATGATCTCAGCCTCAGCACGGACAAGACGAAGGAGATGATAGTGGACATGAGGAAGGAGAGGAGATCTCATCAGCCGCTGTTCATCCGGGGCCTCGAAGTGGAGAAGGTGAGCAGCTTCAAATACCTGGGCATCCACATCAGTGAGGACCTCACCTGGACACAGAACACCACACAGCTGGTCAAGCAGGGCCAACGGCGGCTGTACTTCCTGAAGAGGTTGAGGATGTTTGGCATGTTTCCTAGGATCCTTTGCAACTTCTACAGCTGCATTGTTGAGAGTAGCTTGACCAACTGCATCACTGTCTGGTATGGCAGCACTACTGCTGTGGACTGCAAGCGCCTGCAGAGAGTGGTAAAGACTGTGGAGAAGATCACCAGGACTCCACTGCCCTCTCTGCGGTGCACTCCACAGCTCCCACGTAGCATAAATTTTCTCTGCATTATATTGTGTTCTTGTTGTATTTTTATTTGCTTCCTTCACTTGCTGCTTTAAAGTGCCTTAGATTTGTGATTTTACTGCCTATTTAAATTTGTGTTATTGCTCATCTACTTTATATTTCATTTGTATTATGTGGCATTCATGTGGACGGCAAAGTAAGAATTTAATTGTACAGGGAAACACGTTTCCTAACTGTGCATATGACAAATAAACACTTTGACCGTTGTCACTGTTGTACTCAAAACAAAACCTGCCTGTGTGCCTCAGCATAATGTTGGTAACAAGTAGAAAATCACCATCCAGATCAACAACAATGCTCCTGATGAGCATTGTTTCTAATCCAAATGTGTATATTACATTCCAGGAGAGGGTTTCAGTGACCACTGTAGAGCAGACTCACAGAAGCTCACAAAATACTAAAATATCAGCATGAGGTTGCAGATCTGAATGTTTTCCAAAATTGTTATATTTTTGTTTAGATATGTCACTGTTTTTACAGATCTCCACATTATGTGCTTGAATTGCCATATAGATAAATTACATTTTTTTTAAATCCATATGTATAGTTTAAACTATTAATATAAAGCCTTGCACTCGGTGCCATAATGTAAATACTCACCTAAAATAAAATGCTCATATATTTTTATTTTAGTTGAGTATTTCAGTTTACACATTACCTTCTGCTACATGGAAGTATTGTGTGTATGCTGTTTACACATTAATGCATATTAATAACATGATATAACATATACAATAATGTTCTGGAAGGGTCAATTCTGTATAATGAGTGCTTTTACTTTTCATATGTTCTGTACATTTTGCTGATAATACTTCTGATCTTTTAATTAAGTAAGACCTTCAATAGTGGACTTCATTTGTAATTGACTATTTTATATTTTATATTGTGGTATTTCTACTTTCACTTAAGTGAAGGATCTGAATACTTCTTTCGCCACTGGATATTTTAGCCTAGAGAGGTGACAGTTTCCTCAGGCCAAATAATACTTTGTGTATTGATATAGTAAGATAAGATAAGATAATCATTGAGACTGGTAATGTTGGGTTTCTTTGGCAGTCCAACTAGGATGGAGGACTTCAGGCAGGGTGGGACAGTGGACTGTGTCAGAGACTGGTTGAAGATCCTGGTGAAGACTCCAGCCAGCTGGTCTGCGCAGTCCTTCAGCACGTGTCTGTGGACGCTGTCCGGTCCAGCCGCCATTCCTCGGCTTTACGGCCCGCAGCATGAGCCTCGCCTCAAGTAACCCAGGTGATTTAAAAAAATCAGTATGTAGCCTATTGTACACGGTGTGCCATATAAACAGATTGTCAGATGTGGTGGTATTATGACATACAGACAGGTGACAAATTAACACCCAGCAGGCCCAGCAGGTGTTGGGCCATAATGTGGCACTAGACCAGCTTCAGTGTGCCTTGGCATTGACACTATGTCTCTGAACTATACTGGAGGGATGAGCACTATTCTTCAAAAAGATGTTCTCTCATTTAGTGTTTTGATGATGGTGGAGGAGAAGCTGTCTAACACATCAGTCCAAAACCTCCGTTAGTTCAACTAGGCTGAGATCTGTGACTATGAAGACCATAGCATATGATTCACTTCACGTTCATACAAACCAAGGCAATTAAGAAGTGGACATACTGGCGAAGTGACCACTAAAATTACAAACAATACATATAGAAATTCCATCAAGTAAGGCTGAGATCAAAATTATTATCAAACAACATATGCATAAAGTTTGTCAAGAATACTGGGATATCATTGCCACAAGAAGACATCTTTACAGTATACAAAACATGTTGGAAATAGTGGAATACAGAGATCAGAGTGACTCACCTGAGGACAGTACACACAGAGTGTGTGTCATTCACTCCACAGAGTAGGCAAACATGCAACTGGGCTGTGCACACAACGTAATCAGCCAGAAAAGTATTTAGGGTTTTGATTAAATATTTACAGGAGACTAGGAATGAAGAAAACTCTTTTTCGTTTTCCTTTGCCATTTCTACTGTTACACACTCCAGTAGGTGGCGGCAATGCATTTATTAATTCGTTGCCAACCACCAATAAAATCTACAGAAGAAAAAGAAGTCAGACTTAACCAATAGTGAGGTGCATGAGGAGGAGGGTCCTCATTGGATCAGATTCCAGCAGTTCTTTAGTGAGTATTCAAAACATCCAGTCAGACTCAAGGCAAGACTTAATACTGGAAATAGCTTGTATACTATTCAGATGTCAGAGGGTTGGAATAGATATTAATTAGGCTAGTTTGGATACCAGCACATACTGGGGTGGGGGGAAATGAATTAGCAGATGAATTTGCAAAAGCTGCACTAAAAAAAAAGAAATGTTTGTGAGGAAGTAAGCTATAGTAAGGCTGAGGTTAAGAGTTTGATTAAAAGGAAACTGAACTGGTTTACTGTTTTGCACATTGAGAGCCGATGTACCTGAGTCAAATTCCTCATGTGTCCATCACACCTGGCCAATAAAGCTGATTCTGAAATAGGAAAGATGAAGATATGGTATCAAGATTGAGATTTGGGCATACTGGATTAAATAGTACATTGATGTTAATCAAGAAACACACTACAGGTGAATGTGATATGTGTAGAGTACAAGAAACAGTGGAACGTTTTAATGAGCTGTCCCAGGTTCAGGTGGGAGAAGGAATTATTTAAAAATACAGTTTTAAGAGGTGGAATTAACTTTAGTTTACCGGAGGTACTGGGACAAAGGTCAGGGGATATAGGATACAGAGCACTTATTAGGTTTTTAGAGAGCACAGGGTTACACAAGATAATATGAGGTGAACTGAGTGGTGTTATCATGGTGTGGTTGTAGGTAGGGGCCGTTCTGATCCACACTCCAGTCTGGAAGGTGGCGGTAATGCACCTAAAGCTGGTTGCCAACCGCCATTAAAAAAGCTGAAGAAGACGAAGAAGAAGCATGAGAATGAAGAGGAGGAGGGAGAGAAGGGAGAGAAGGGAGTGTTATGTTTGGTGTATCACATCAAACTGTGGGCTGGTTTGACTTGTCACCGGTCCTGTCGGGCAAACGATGTATTTCGGTCACTAGTTACAAAAGAAGGATAAAGACCGGCAACAGCCGGAAACACCGAGGCGCCACGACACAACAAGTAGTTATGCAGGATGGTCGAATTAACGGACACTGCTTTTAAAACCACTGGATCAAAGTGGCTGCTGCCTGTCAGCCAATACGTTAACTTACCTCTTGAGCAGGTAGGAACATTTGTCCGTGAAACACAAATTGAAATATATTGGAGGTATTAAGAGCATTTCAACAAGCTACGTTGTCTCGTGTATAGCACTCGGTGGATGAAAGCTCGGTCAATTAACGCTGTGCAGTGATTCTCAGCAGTCACCGACGCCCATTTCGCAGCTCATAATTGTAATGGTATAGAATACTGCGTTTGAAGTTTTTTCTGTCCAAAGTGGCATAAGCTATTGAAAATCTCTATAGGCTTCTTAACATTTAGAGCCAGTTATTTGATAATGTACTTCACAAATATCACGGCAAAACTAGACATCCTTATAGAAGTGTTGATTTCTATGACGATAAAGCTATACATCCCCCATTGTTTCCCCTAGGTTTACAGACGGACACGCGCGACATATTTTCCGACACGCGCTCTCTGTCCACTAGTGGGAGTGTGCGCGCGACCATGTAGACAGAAATGATATGCCATCGTGTAAATGAGATAAATAACATAAGGCTATTTACTTTGTTTAATAAACGAACAAAGTATAGACATTGGTATAAAGTATAACCTTAGATGACTTCTGTTAGAACTGCTACCCATGCTCTCACAATAAATGCCCATAGAGGTATTATTAGTTGTCTTTGAGCAGCTGTAAACTCTCATCCTAATCCAGCTCTCTCCCACACAGGTGAATTTTTTGGCATGCCAAGGGTTTGCCCTAGCTGCTGCCTTCTGGTTTCGTCTCTACCTCGGTCCCAGCCATGCCAATCCCCTGGTCAGGCATGCTGTGGCCACACTCCTTGGCATTGCCTTTCTCATGTTCTGCTTCGGATGGTACTGTATGAAAGGCAACACAGAACTCCTTATAGTTATATGAAGACAGTCAGGATGTAGGAAATACAAGACAGACAGGATAAATGTTTGTGGTGGCATTTGATCAGTGAATATAAGTTTTAGGGGGCTGAACACAGCCATGTTGTATCATAGACAACATACAGTACAGCATAATGTCCTGTTTTCATTTTAAATAAAGAACACAAATAATAGTAATGCTGCAATGTGTCTGTCCTGTTCTGCAGGTACTCTGCTCACATCCTGACAGTAGTGGCTGCAAACTACTTGATCATGATCAAAGCTGACATCAACCATGTACACAGGCAAGACTTTTCCTTCACACCACTAAAGGAGATCCACACGAAAGGGTGATATTTGGCAGTGTTATGGAGACAGGTGGTTGGCTTATAAAATATTGCAGCAATGAAATGGGTTGGAATTTGTGACGTTTAGCCATATGACATATAAGGTAGAATTAATTACATTGTGATGTATTTATGGTGTGTGCAGTCTGTCAGTGCCCTTTTACCATATCTTGAAGTATCGGCAGCCTTTTACTATGTAGTTCTGCCTTTTGTAGCCATTTGATAGCATGGCTGGTTTGGTACAGGCAAACAAAACAGAAACAGCTTTATTGGCCAGGTGTGTCGGACACATGAGGAATTTGACTCTGGTACATCGGCTTTCAATGTGTATGTACATATCCCCATGCAAGGGCCAAGTAAACAGTAAACCAGCATAAGGCTGAGTAATATAACAAAATAAGCAGTATTAACAGGCAGTAAACAATGCAGACAGACAAAGGAATGCTCATTGAAATGAGATAAATAGGAATAAAAACAGAGTACTTAACACTAGAGACCTATATGAATCTGTATAATTATACAGCCTGACCAACCA